AACAAACACAAAAACAGGGAGAATCCCATTAATAAACTGCAAGTAGCTTTCACACTACAGCAATTACACAAAAAAAGTGAATTCGTGAATGAAATGGAAATGAATTCATGATATTTCCCTGAAAATGCCTATTTGCTGTTTCATGTTACTTTCTTGTCGGATTCTATGCGGTTTGTGTACAGTGTTGTGTGAAAACCATTTGGGCATAATATGCTGGATAATCACAGGTTCTTACCCGTTTAAACTTCCAATTTTCCCTGTGTCATAAACTCCTAAGTCTTGCTGACCAACAAACAAATTGAGAATAGGCTATCACTATCTGAACTTCTGGGCCAGCAGAACACAAACATAAAGGTGTGCCAGGATATTACATTATTGCAAGTGGAAACTTTAAGACAAATGAATTTTTGCTATGTTTTTGTGTATTCAGTCTTCTAATAAGATGCCATTCAAGCACTGGCCATGTTGGCTGGGGTTCCAATTGTTTGTTCTTATTGTTGTGTGCCTTCAGGTCATTTTTGACTTATGGTGACCGATCATGGGCAAACCTATCATGGGGTTTTCTTGGTAGGTTTCTTCAGAGGGGGTTTGCCAGTGCCATCCTCTGAGGTTGAGAGAGTGTGACTTGCCCAAGTGGGTTTCCATGGCTGGGAATTCAAACCCTGGTTTCCAGAGTCATAGTCCAACACTCAAACCACTATACCACAGTGGCTCTAAACAGTTGTTATCCCCCATCACTCTTTTCTGAGTTCTGATGGAGATCCCTAACCTGGAATTGAAATGGACTGAAAATGAAATAGTATTGTTACCAGTTGATGGACATAAGACACTCAACACTGCAAAGGTGAAAATAGTTAACAAAAATAAATTGTCACTTGTTGGTGACAATTCTTGATAGAAACATCTTTGGCAGCATGAACAGTTTCATGGCTTCTTGAGTAAGGTCCAATCCATACTACAGGAATCATCCAGTTTGACACCTCTTTAACCCCCCTGGCCCAATGCTAGGGAATTCTGGGATTTATAGATGTGTGACATTTAGCCTTCTCTGTCAGAGAGTTCTGGTGCCACAATAAACTACAATTCCTAGGGTTCTCTAGCGAGGGCGGTTAAAGTGGTGTTAAACTGAATGATTTCTGCAGTGTGGGTTGGACCTAAGTCTCTGTCAGCTTTGTGCCTCTGGAGCCTGCAGTCTTTTCCCATTCTTCTGTGGCAAAATTGCTCCAGCTATGTCAGATTGGATGCCTGTTGGTGAACAGCAACTTTAAAGTCTTGCTTCAGATTCTCAGTCAGATGGCTTCATGCAAGCCGTTCTAAGACATCCAGGTTCTTGCTTTTAAACCACTCCAGTGTTACTTTGGCTGTGTGTTTATTTAGGCTCATTGCATCCATCTTGCCCTCAGCGCTAACCAGTTTCCTAATTGCTGCTGAGGAGAAGTATCTCCACACCATGGTGCTGCCACCATCATGCTTCCTCATGTGGATGGTTTTCATAGGGCAGTGATCACTGTTGGTTTTGGATTACACATTGCATTTTGCCAAAGTTCAGTTTCAGTCTCTTCAGACCAGAGAATCTTTGCCCACATGTTTGATAAGTCTCTCACTTGCCTTTGTGCAAGCTCCAAACATGCTTTGATATTGGTTTGTTTCAGCAATGCCCTTCTTCTTACCACACTTCCATAAAGCACAACTTTCTGGAGTGTCCAGGTTATCACATGCAGCATTTTTCTTGCATTTCTCTCAGTGTTTCTTCTACCATTAGCCTCTCCAAGCACAAAAAGAAGGAAGGGGGAAGAGACACTTTTAAAACTAACTGGTTTTTTTTTTTGTATGAGCTTTTGTGAATATAAACCCACTTCCTCAGATGCAAAACTAAGTGGTGTTAAGGCCCATCCATCATCTTGCCAGCCCTGTGAGCAGGTGCATTGTCCTACAAAAAGAGAACACCTTCCTACAGCTTCCCTGACCATTTTTCCTTCAATGTCTCCTTTAATTGACACAGCAAGCTAGAGGAGTATTCTGCATTAACTGTTTGGCCCTTCTTAAGATATAAGAAATACCTATTGTATCCCAAAAAACTGTGGCCATGATCTTTCCTGCAGACCTTTGAATCTTGACAGCCATGGATAATCCAAGGGCTGGTACCATGAGAACTATAGTCTGGTCTCGAGATCATACTGATGTAACAGTGTTGAGTCGATCCAAATACTTATCATTAATGATGCAAAATTAATTTTTGTAGATATAGCCATTCGAGTTTGTTTCTGGTCAGCATTCAAATATTTCAGCACGCACTTCGCTAACAGCTTCTGCATAGCCAACTGCTCACGATTTATAAAACCAGTGCATTTCAAGGATGTCTCTTCAGCAATTGTTTTAGCCAAAATCCATGTATCTGCCAAAATCAGGCCATGAACACACATCAGTCATCTTGTCTAGTCTTTCTCTAGGTTCTAGTATGGAGGCTAAAAGAATAGACAGTACTCAAAATGGTCATAGATCCCAATCACACTGCAGGAATAATCCAGTTTGAGACTGCTTGAACTGGCCTGGCTCAGTGCTAGGGAATTCTGGGAACTGTAGTTTTGTGACATTTTTAGCCTTCTCTGTCAGAGAGCTCTGGTGCCACAATAAACTGCAATTCCCAGGAGTCCCTAGTACTGAGCCTGGGCAGTTAAAACAGTCTACTAAACTAGAGTGTGTTTTGGACCACCAAAATCCTGGTTTCGATTCAGTTACCAACCAGCAGCATCAATTGCTCAAAAGTCCTCTGCATCAGATCAGAAGTTCAAGTCTGGGCAGATGGAGGAGAAGCCCAAGCGTTGACTTTGACTTTCTGTCAGATGAACCCTTGATGGCTGAATCTCCACACTCCATGCAGCTCTCCATCCTGAACATCAATGCCTCCATCTTCTAGACTGCTCTCTATCCTGAAGGTCTTGGATCTTTTCCCCACTGTTCCAGCAATGCCTTCTCCTCCATTC